AAAAAAAAGAGATCAAGGTTTTACAAAATGGAAGTTACAAAGCTGGTTGCAAAATGGAGTTGACTAAGCCAGCTTACAACGTTCTCCATTTGTTCTTTGTGGCTGTGTGGCCTCTCTGTTGACTATCTGAAGAAATAACCCCATTAGAGCTCTGGGAACTTGTCAGAGAGTTCAGAAACAGAAGCAGTGTCAGAACTGTGAGCCATAGGGTGGTGTTTATCCATAATGAGAAAAGTCTGTCTTAGGCAATTGAGATAACTTTTTTCTCTTTTGTTATACTGGAATCAAATTATTTTATTAGTTTTTAATATTTGCCTTGGAAATAGTATCTTATGTCCAGTTCCAAGCTTATCTTGACAATTCATGACCATTTATATTTTTTCAGATGAATTTTATATTATAGGTTCTACCTCCAAAAGCATATTGGGGAATGTGAGGTTTTTCAGCAGTGTAGTAAAGAGATAGGAAAGATAAGAGAAGCCTTATTAGCTCCAAAGACACAGAGAGGATCAGGGAAGATGGGAAAGGCCTCTGACCTGAGTCAAAGAAAGCTGAGGCTTCTATGAACTTCTGTTAGGGGTGGAGTTTGAAGGGCAGTTTTAATTACAAGTGAGGAGCTGATTGGGGTCTCCTCTGTGTGTGTGCAAAAAGTGAGAGGAAACTGTATCCAGGGCTGGAGTGGGGAAGGAGGAGGAAGTGATATTTGGGAAAATAAGCAGTTGTAAGTGCTTTGGCCATGCTAGATGACCACCATAATAATTTAGCAGTTTATACTAGGGCCACAACCTACCAGGGAATTTGATTGAAATTGTACTAAATTTAATTTTAAAAATAACTGACATATTTAAATGTTCCGTCTCAGATCTGGCCAAATAGCTCAGTGAATTAAAGCACCTGCTTAGGCAGATGCAGCGGCCGGGGTTCTATCCCCGGCATGCCATGCCGGCCCCGCCCATGGAGCACGCTGAAACAGCCATTGAGACTGGGCGTGATGGCACATGCCTGTAATCCCATCACTTAGGAGGCGAAACATAGGCACATCACTATGAGTTCGATCTACATAGTGAGACCCTGTAGAACTTTACCAAAAAAAAAAGTTCAGTCCCTCCCACTGTTACATTTCCTTTTATTAATGAAATGTTCTTTTATGTCCTTTGCAAAAGTTTGTAATTGTTATCATATAGAGCTCATATTTTTAAGTTTATTTAGGTATACTTTGTGAGTATTGCTGTTTTGGAGTTCCTCTGAGTGTGTGTGCCAGGAATTGAACTCAGAACCTTGTGCTTCTCAGGCAGGCAGTTATGCCACTGAGATATATCCCTGGCCATGAGTATTGCTATTTTGAATGGACTCATTATAATTATTTTTCAGCTCTGTCTTTATTTGATAATTTGTATCTTTTTCTAATGAGTTATCAAATTAGACTCTGGGAATTCTGAATAGAGTGTAAATTGTCTAAAAATAACCATTGTACTTTATTGAATGAAAGACAAAATCAATTATGACATGAACCCACATTCTACGTATCATGAAGAGAGCTGGCTGAGCATGGCATGGCAGCATGTGCACACATAGCTTCTCGGGAGTCCGAGGCAAGAGGAGCCCAACTTTCAAGTCTAGCCTGGGCAACGTAATGAGACAGTCTAAAATTTATTTATTTATTTGTTTTAAAATTAATTAATTATTTGTACATGGTCATACTATGCAGCTTGGACTCATAGTGATCCTCAGCCATGCCAGCACTGTGATTACAGGTGTACCCCACCATGCCCAGTTTTGGTGGCTGGCATGACAAGTTCTGGGGCCAGCATGGCATGCCAGATCCTTGTGCTTGCCAAGCAGCCACTTAGACTGCTGAGCTATCTTCACAACCCCACTTTGTATTTGTTTTTTCAAAACAAATTTTAAAAAAGAAATTCTAATATGGGGCTGGGGGTGTAATTCAGTAGTAGAGCTGTTGCCTACCATGCTCAAGGCTCTGGATTCAAATCCCAGTATGGGAAGAAAGAAAGAGAGGGAGAGAAAGAGAGAGAGAGAGAAAGAGAGAGAGAGAGAGAGAGAGAGAGAGAGAGAGAGAGAGAGAGAGAGAGGAGGGGAGGAAGAAGGAAAGTACTGAGACTTATAAATGTAAAATGCCACCACCCATAAAAATATCCCAATTTCAGCAATGTGAAAAATTGTCTTAGTTTCGGCAAGTTGTGCACCCTTCGATAGCTCAGCTGGTAGAGTGGAGGACTGTAGATTTGACAAGTTGTTTTTATGTCTTCTTTTCTAGGGCTTTACTTCTTTTTTACTGTAATGTTATGAATTGACATAGATTCATCAGGAAGCTTTGAGTAATGGCAAAGTATTCTTATTTTGTTTGCGTTTTTAATAGGATTTGGTACTGAATTTACTCGCACCTTCAAATTCTAAAACTTTATGTTTCTATTGCAGAGAGTCTAGAGGCACATGTCTAGCAATATCTTTTTTGTATAAATCGAATGAGTGCCTTTCAAATGGGACTTCAAGAGACATAGATCATTTAAGAAAGAAATTAACAAAGGAAGTGTAAGACTTTATGCCACAAATTATAAAACAAGGCTGAGAGAAATTATAGAAGGTTTAAACAATGGGCAGTCGTTCCATGTTTCTGGAATGCCAGGTGCTGTATTGCCAGGATGATGGCTGTTCCCAAATTGACCAATAGGTTCCATACCACCCCTGTGGAGCTTTTCAGACACTACCTAGCCAATCTTAAAATATATAGGGAAATACAAATAACCTGGATACAGTAATGAAAGCAAATTTGGTCAAACCCTCTTTGCTTTCAAAGATACTTCTTGATTTTAAGACGGTGTGCTATTGGCATAAGTGTAGATACATAAATCAACGGTTAACCAATAGCACATGAGCAATAACCAATAGCATAAATACACAAAGACAGAGACTGTGGGAATGGCCAGATTTAATTTCCATAGGGCAGGCATGATGAAATGAGAGTGATATCATCGAGTAGTTGGAGGGGAGGCTAATTATATGTAGGGTGTGGGGTTGGGGATTGTAGTCCCAAGAAATCTGAATCATCAGGGAGTTGCATCTCCAGTCCCAAATTTCTTCATGGCCATCAGCTCTGTTTGAGAGGGCAGCGTGAATTCTTCTTGTTTGTAGAGGGCACCGTGGTTCTTGGGAAGGTCTTTCTAGATCAGGCCTGACAAGCATCATTAATTGTTATGGAAATCCAAATCAAAACTCCAGTGAGATACATCTAAACACCTACTAGAGAGTTTATCGATGTCACAGTGATAATGCAAAGAAATCAGAAGCTGCATACATTTCTAATAGGAATGTAAAATGGTAGGTCCACTTTGGAAAATGAGTTTGGCAGTTTCTTCAAAAGTTAAATATAGGGCTGGTGAGGTAGCTCAGCTGACTAAGTACCTGCTTGTGCAAGCACAGGGAAAGCAGTTTGATTGCTAGCACCACATGCTGCACAAGCCCCACCCCCAGGGCAGGGTGGGCTGAGACCCCTGAGTCTGGGCATGGTGATGTACACCTGTAATCCCAGTGCTGGAGAGGCTGAAAATTGGAGGATCACTATGAGTTCACACTGTGTAGTGATACCCTGTGAAAACCAAATACATTTTTTTTAAAAAAAGTGAAATATAGAGCTAATGTATGACCCAGTAAATTCACTCATCACTATGTATCCAAGAGAAATGAAAACATACAAGGTATGTCCACACTAAGATTTGTATTCATAATCACCCTTACTGCAAACAATCAAAAGTTTATCAGCTAGTGAATGGATAAAAATGTCACACCTCTATGAGTATTACTGAGCATTATGGAGGCATGTCACCTGTGGAAGGTGCTAGACACAGGACCACATACTGTGATTTAATTTATATAAAATGTATAGAAAAGTGAAATGCAAAATCTACAGAAACAGAAAAATAAATAATTTCCAGGAAGTAGACTGAGCTGACAAAGGAACTTTTAAAGATAGTTAATATGTTCAAAAAACAGAATTGGGCTGGCCCCCACTTGCAGTCTTCTTGTGTCAGTCTCCCAAAGTACTGGGATTATAAACCTGTGCCAGTGACACAATACAGTTAGTTTAAACCCATTTCTGAAACTAATATCACTCTTTACAATCACGACATAGATTTGTCTTGAATACCTATGCAAATTCCTCAAATAAGTTCAATAATCTTAGGGTCGGCCAAATAACTCAGAGAATTAAAGTGCCTGCAAGCAGGCTCAGGGGCCAGGGGCTTGATTGCTGGGCCTGCTGGGCCAGCCTTGCTCCTGGTATGCTCTGAAAAGGCAATTGACACTGGGCATGGTGGTGCATGCCTGTAATCCCAGCTCTTGGGAGGCTGTAAACAGGTGGATCACTATGAGTCCGATCTAGTATTGAGACCCTGAACACACTGTAGAGGCTTCCCTAACATACAAAAATAAATAAATAAATAAATAAATAAATAAATTCAATAATCTCAAAAAAAAAAACAGAATTGGGGTGATAGTTGCAAAATTCTGTATATTGCTAAAAATTGTATACTCAAAGTGGGAAATTTTTGTGATATATAAATTTATCACAGTTTGACTTTTTATTAAAAAAATGTAAATTGTGCCAGACATGATGGCACATTCCTGCAATACCAGCTACTCAAGAGCCTAAGACAGAAGGTTTGCAAGTTTGAACCCAATCTGGAAAACTTAGTGAGACTTTGTCTCAAATCAAACTAATTAGATGAGATGGAGTAGAGATCAGCACTCCCTGCATCCAGCCCCAAGTACTGGGAGGGAAAAGTAAATTAAATGTAAAACATAGGGCCGGGGAGAAGGCTCAGTGGAATAAGTGCTTCCCTGGCAAGCACGAGGGCCTGAGTTCAATCCCTGGTAAAAAAAAAAAAAAAAAAAAAAAGTAAAACATAACATATCGGCAGCTACTGAAACAGGGTGTAAGGAAAGCAGACTACTTAGTATGATTTTTCTTTGTTTGTGTTTTGTAGCTTACAGTTCCTGGATGAAAGAGCATGGAGGATCTATTGTTAATATCATTATCCTTCTTCATGGACAACCATTAATGGCGTAAGCAGTTTTGTTTTTGTTTTCTTCCTATGTCTTTCCTTCCTATGTTGAGTTTTATCTCTGAATGAGGTAAAGAGTATAGGAAAATTGCTTAAATCAATATGATTAATACTTTAAATGAGTTGGGAATCTCAATACTGAGCATTTTCTTTCCTTTGAATGTTAAAAATGTCCTTCTAAGACATGCCAGCTTGTCTAAATCATTCAGAGTAAGGTCACTGTATTTAGTGGGAAAAGTGGCAAAACACAGTGTACTCAGAGATGTAACTTTTTAGTATAAATATGTGCAGGATAATCTGTGGAGGTATCTTGTGCTAAAAAGTTATTTCTCATTTACCTCAAATTCATACAGAACTATATGTCTTTGTTTCATTGGAAAGTTCATCTGAACATTATTACACTGACTGTCACCACCAGGATAGAACTCCTTTGTCAAGGTAGACACAAATACAATCTGTATTAATTTAGACAACTATTATAAATAGACCTGTTTGATCTTAAGAGGATGCAAAATTGTTATTCTAAACAGAAAGGTAGAATTATTTGCCAACAGTCTCTAAGGTTCTCTACTTCTAATCACCCACTCTACAAGTAGAGTGCTTGCTTCTCTACACAAATTCCAACAATCTGCTTGCTTCCTGCATTATAGGACTTCCCCAGTTATGTGAGATGGAAGGAAATGTTAATCTAGGCTAAACACTGAGATTAGTGCTTCTCCAAGTGTGGGCTCTAGACCAGAAAGATGAGCTTACGGGAGTACGTGTCAGAACTATTTGTCCTCTAGCCACCCCCAGGTTTCCTGCGTCAGGAGCAGTGGGAGATGTGCCAAGCAGCCCACGTGCCCAAGTCCCCAGGTAGTGCTGGGCCAGGCAGAACCACCGGGCCTGAGTATGGTGGATTCAAGCACGCTGGTGGCTTGGCCTCAGGTCCACCTTCCCACTCAGGCAGGCTCTCTGTACTTATGGCCAAAGAACAGAGAGAACTTTCCAAGTAGTGCCTGGAAAATAACAGTGGCAGGGCTAGGGAGATGGCTCAGTGGAATAAGCACTTCGCTGGCAAGCGCAAGGGCCTGAGTTCAGTGCCTGGTTCCACAAAAAAAAAAAAAAAGAGAGAGAGAGAGAGAAGAAAATAACAGTGGCTTTAATTAATGAATTAGATATTTTTATTAATTTCTAGTGTGTGTAATCCATAATTTCATTTTGGTGATAGAGGCAGAAACATTTTAGAAAAATTGTTGAATTAATCCAAGCAAATTGTATTTATTCTCTAATTTGGATCCAATCCAATGTGAATGTTACAAAGAAGCCTGTCTATGTCTAGTTAGATTAAAATATTTCTTCACTTACAAAAAAAAAGAAAAGAAAATAACAGTGGCAGTGCCAGCACCAGCAGTTCTCAGACAGAACACTCAAGAGCTGCCCCTGCCTGAGTCATTTGTGCAGTCATTAAACACTGGGGATGACGTCCCTGTGCTATACACAGCCAGCCTGAGGAACTGGGGATGATGATGCTCAGATGGGGAATGAGATTTCCTCAAGTGGAAATCAAGGTGTTTTGCCTAAAACAGAGCAAAGAATCCAGGCAAGGCTGTGCCCTAGAAGGGAGTTTGGGAACCTAATGCCTTCTTCTTTTGCTTCTTTGGTTTCCTGCCCTTGAGGTGAGTGGTTCTGCAAAAAATGAATGTTGGGGGAAGTTATTCATGGACTGAACCCTCTGAAACCGTGAGCCATAATAAACCTTTTCTCTTTATAAGTTTGTTATCTGAATACTTATTATATAAAGTAATGAAAAGTGAGTAGTAAGGGTTTTATGTTAAAATATGTATTATAAAGAAAAAATGAAGACTGTGAGGATCGTCAGACTAAGTGCCTGCTTTGGCAAGCACAGGGACCAGGGTTTGATCCCTAGTCCCGCATGCCACACTAAGCCGTGTCCCAGTCCAGGCATAGTGGCACACGCCTGTAATCCTAGCTCTGGGGAGAAAACAGGAGGGTCACTATGAGTTTGAGCTATGTAGTGAAACCCAGAACCAAATACATAAATGAAAGAAAGAAAGTAGTGATAGTTTTTAAAACTGAGAAAAGGTTCTAAAATATTTCTTAAAGATAATCTCTAATTCAAAGAAGGTTTGGCCTGGTGGATATTTTGCTTATTTTTTTTTAATGTTTTATGTTTTCAACAAAGGAAGTACAGATGTGCAAAAAAGTCAGTCTCATTTTTGTGCCTAACACATCCTAGCACATCTTAATCTCTTACAATTTTGGGGGCTGGGGAGATAGCTCAGTAGAATAAGCACTTGCCTGGCAAGGGCAGGGTCCTGAGTTCAATCCCAGGTACCATATAATAACATACAATAAAATTTTGAAGCCAGGCATGGTGGCACAGTACTGTAGTCCCAGCACAAGGGAAGCTGAGACAGGAGGATTGCCATGATGAGTTCAAGGCCCATTTAGGCTGCAAAGGAATTTAAGGCCAGCCTGAACTACAGAGTGAGACTGTGCCTCAAAAAAATTTTTCTTCAAGTCAGATGGACAAATAAAACAAGTGATACACATGTATAAGAATAGTTATTGCTTTTTTAAAAACAAACATGGGATGTTTTAAATACCCTTCTACTTCGGTTTTAACTTGACATTAATTTGTGAACCAGTTTTTAAGCAACATGTATTATAAACTGCTTCACAGCAGGGTGACATCACAAGGACAGGATTTACACTTACCCTAAACAGCTATAAAACAGACAAAATATATGAAGCGATGACATTTGAGACACTAGACATCAGGCAGCAAAGCAGAGTAGTCTCTGAAATGCAGGAAACAAAAGGGGTGAACCATGTGTTTATTCTAGTTTATTCCTCTGCTCTGGATCATGATGCAGAATGGGGAGCTGAAGCAGAACCTGGCAGTCTCCTCATATCAAGAGAAAAGACCAGAGACAGGCATGGTGGCACACGCCTGTAATCCCAGCACTCAGAAGACTGAGGCAGGAGATTCTCTGTGAGTTCAAGACCAGCCTGAGCTACAAAGTGAGCTCAAGGCCAGCCTGACCTGCATAGCAAGACCCTGGTCAAAAAGAGAGAGAGGAGAGGAGACAGAGAGGTAGGGGGTGGGAATAGGGGTGTCAGGTGCACAGGTTAGGCTGAGGGAGAAGGGAGCTGCAATGAGACAACAGCTTGCAGGTGTGTAGAGTCAGGTCAACTTGGGTGTGTGGGAAAGTCTCATCTGAAACGTGTTGAGCACTCTCTCTGGGTCTAGCAGAGTGCCTGTTCCCAACAGCCTCTCTGGAAAACCTCTCAACTAGGGAAAGTAAGGCTGAAAAAGCGGATACAAAAAAGGCTTTGTTTCAGCAGTGAGGAAAAGTATCCCTAGACTAAATGCAGCTCTGTTCCTATGAAGGAATAATAAATTATTATTAACCTCAATAATATTTAAAGGTATCTTCCTTCCAGTAAAAAATTGCTGGGTATAAAAATAAGCAGGGGCCTGGCGAGATGGCTCAGTGGTCTAAAGCACCTACTTGGAACAAGCTTGGCAAAGCACAGGGACTGCGGTTCAATCCCCCAGCACCACATGCCAGCCAGCCCCGCCCCCTGGTGGGCTGAGCTGGCCACACACACACACACACACATACACACACACTAAATAAATGTTTAAAAAAAAAAAAAGCTGGGAGGGGGCTGGGGAGATGGCTCAGTGGAATGAGCCCTTCCCTGGCAAGCACAAGGGCCTGAGTTCATTCCCCGGTTCTGAAAAAAAAAAAAAAAAAAAAAAAAATCCCTGGCTCTGAAAAACAAAAATATTCCTGACCAAATTAGAATAATGGAAAACATTTTTATCAATAAAATTATGGGGGAAAAAAAAACTAAAAAAAAAAAGCAGGGGGCCAAGGAGATAGCTCAGTAGAATAAGTGCTTGCCTGCAAACACATGGGCCTGAGTTCAATCCCCAGTTCCGAAAAAAAAAAAAAAAAAAACAGGAAAGGGACCAGGGAAATAGCTCAGTAGCATAGCACCTGCCTGACAAGCACAAGATCCTGAGTTCGATTCCTAGTACCAAGAGGTAGTAGTAGTAATAATTGAGGCCAGCGAGATAGCTCAGTGGTCTAAAGTGCCTGCTTAGACTAGTTTAAGCATGGAGACCATGGTTCAATCCCTGGCACCACATGCTGCACCAGCCCCACCCCCTGAGCCAGCCCCCCCCAAAAAAAATAATAATAATAAGCAGAACCTTGAGAGAATTATGATGACTGTATTCTGTATATTCAAGAAACTAAAGGAAAGCTGAAACATGCTAGACAGAAATATAGAAGAGTTTTTGGTTTTTTGTGGCCGCCTCAGCCTGCCCTGAGGGCAGGGCTGGTGTGGCATGTGGTGCCAGGGATCAAATCGTGGTCCCTGCAGTTTCCTAAGCTTGAAAAAGCAAACTCTTTAGACCACTGAGCTATCTCACTGGCCCCATATAGGAGAGATTTTTAAATGCCCCAGTCAAATATCAAATATCTACTGTAAAAAATGGCAGATTAGACACTTCAGAAGAAATAGTGATCCTGAAGATATCGCAATAGAAACTATCCCAAAAAAGAGTCATGCAGTGAGAAAGAAAAGGAAAGAAGCACAGAGCATCAATGAGCTGTGAGATAGTCTTCAAAGAAGAGAGAAGCAAGGGCAGAAAAACAATTTTCCATTTTACCAATTTGATAAAAACTATAAACCTCCTGACCTAAGAAATGCAACAACCCCGAAGCACAAGAACATGATAAAGCAGCATGCAGTTCATCATGCTCATGTTGCTCAAAACCAGTGGGGGGAGAAGCTGTTAAAAATAACTAAAGTGGGGGGCCAAGGAGATGGCTCCGTGGAGTAAGTGCTTGCCTGACAAGTGCAAGGTCCTGAATTCAATCCCTGCTACCACCAAAAAAACAAACAAACAAAAGCTAGTGTAAAGGTGTACTGTGCAAGACACAGATTTCTCCTTGGAAACAATGCAGATTAGAAGATTGTGGAATGCTGGGGAAAATCCACATCAATCACAATTCTTTGTCCAGTAAAATGTCTTACCAAAAAAAAAAAAAAAAAAATCCTTTACTGTGGTATATTTAGACATTCTGGACCATTGTATCTCTTTATCTTCTGCAATAGACTCCACACAGATGAACACTTAAATATTCTGAACTTCCTACCAGGATGGGCAGTAATGTTTATTTAGATTTTAATATTACCTAGGGATACTATTATATTTCTAGCAATTATGTGGATGTCATATCACTTTTGTTTGTTTGTTTTGTTTTATGTATTTTGTACAGGGTCTCACTGTGCAGCTTGGACTTGTAGTGACCCTCCTGTTTTCAGCCTCCCCAGTGCTGAGACTACAGGCCATGTGCCACCACGCCCTGTCTTGGAGGCTGGCTCAGTGCACCTGGGGGTGGGGCTGGCATGGCATGTGGTACCAGGAATTGAACCCCACTCCCTACACTTGCCTAAGCAGGCACTTACTCCACTGAGCTATTTTCCTGGCCCACATATCACTTATTTGAAACTGATTTAGTAATGACCACTCGCTAGTATCCCTTAAAATAATCAATTCGTTTTCTTCTGTCATACAAAGTTCATCAGCTTACTCCTCTATGTGTGAGGCGCTTTAGGGAACTTTACATATACGATGTGAGATCAGAGCACTGTGGTTTGGCTTTAATATTGAAAGACCCAGTTCTTTCCCCATCTGTTAGCAGGGACGCATAACAAGAATGTTAATAGGAGATAAGTTCAGCAGAAGCTAATTGTACTGTTCGTGTTTTGTCTTTGAAGTCACAGTGGAGCTGCAAGAGGAGGCGTTTACAACCTCACCAAGTCCCTGTCTCTGGAGTGGGCCAGCAGTGGAGTGAGAATCAACTGCGTTGCTCCTGTAAGTCCGTGTTCTATATGGAATGTGCTAGCAGCTTACATATGCAAGTTTACTATGGAAGATTGGCTTTTTAAAAAAACATTGGCTTTAATAAATAGATAAAACTGGAAAATCCAACCTGCAATGTAGAAGTAGTCTTTGACTGACAGATTGTCAGGAAGGTGAAGTTAAGCCAAAGATTCTTATGCTGGCCACATAGTAGTGTGATGTGTGAACCAGTTAAGCAGCTATGACATATGAGCTCCACTCCAAATCAGGGGAGCCAGGAGCCTGCATTCTAAAAAGCAGCCTAGAAACCTCAGTGGCACAGTGAAAGTGTTTCTGCATTCAAGAGCAATTTTTCCGTACCATTTTGTTGTTTCTTGTTTTATCATTAATCCTTTTTTTTAGGAGAGACCCTGAATGTCAGTGTTCTGGAAGGAACTACCTGCTAAAGATTAATCAGAAGTCAAAAGAAAAGTTCAAAGGGCCAGCCAAATAGCTCAGGGGATTAAAGCGCTTGCTTAGGTACACTGAGAGGATGGTTGAGACTGGGCATGGTGGCACATGTCTATAATCCCAGCACTTGGGAGGCTGTAAACAGGAGGATCACTATGAGTCCAATCTACACAGTGAGACCCTGTACACCCTGTAGACCCTGCCCTAAAATACAAAAAGAAAGAAACAAAGAAAGAAAGAAAAGAAAAGTTCACTGAATGACAGCATAAAATAAGGAGAAAAATCTCAATATATTTAACTTGAAAAACTCATTTTGTGAAATAAGCTATAGTGTTGGTCTTTTTGGTAATACATACTGGCCAAGAGAAATGTTAGATGTAATAACGTATCCTGCACAACTTGTCTTAATTTCTACTTTCAGTGATGTTCTCTGGTTATTGTTTCAATGGTCTCCTCTGGTGATTATTTAGATGACTGTAATTTCTCTGAAACTATAAAACTAAAAACCTTTGGATATTATGTATAGACTTAACTACCAAATCTATTATCCACGCTACTTGGTGGGAGCTAAGCTTCATTTGACTGATTGAAGTTAACACAGAAGTCTCTTCTCTAACAATATTGAAGTTTCTTATCTGGAAACTTCATGTATCTTCTGCTTTCGATAGTATATTAACCTATCTATATTATACTCAGATATTTAAGACAAATTAATTACAATTTCCTTCTTAATGTTGACACTTTGGAATTCTGTTTTCCCAAATTGTATGTTTTTAAAAGCCTTAATGATATGTTGTTATGGTAAACATGATACAAATTTATGTTAGTCCTTCAGAGATTTTACTTCTTAAAAGTTCATTGTCTTTAAATAACATATGCATGAATTGGAAATCAGTATATCTCTCTAATGTCCTTCATGGCATTTTTTTAAAAATGCAATTTGGTTGTTGCAGGGTCTCATTACGCAGCTTGGACTCGTGATGATCCTCCTGCTTTCAGCCTCCCCAGTGCTGGGATTATAGGCATGTGCCACTACACTCAGACTCTGTGGCCTGCTCAGCGCTCCTGGGAGGCAGGACTGGTGTGGCATGTGGTGCCGGGGATCGAACTGTGGTCCCTGAACTTGCCTGAGCTTGCCTATGCAGACACTTTAGTCTGTCTCGCCAGCCTCACCTTTACGGCAATTTAATACTAACAGATTTCTTTGCTATCTTCTCATTACTTCTAGTCAGAATCAATTCCAGATAGCTTTATCCTGTGTCAGTTTTCAAATAATTTTTATGACCTTGTAAGCCCTTGAAAAGTAGGGAAAGATAAATGAAAGATGTTTTGTTTTGTTTTCTTATGGTTTTGCCATGTGGCCCAGGCCTGCCTTGAACATGCTAGGTAGCTCAGGCTGGCTGAAATCCATGGTCCTCCTGTCTCAGTCTGCCAAGTGCTGAGATTGTGAGTGTGCTTCACCACACCTGGATTATAAAAGTATTTTTAAACAATTAAAAATTACTTAGAGTGGATTCACTTGTTTTACTTGATTTTACTCTGGATGAGAACTATTGCATTTCTAAGTCCTTGATCAGCTCCCTGCCCCCTCATAAAGCACAGATACCTAGCAGCCTGGTTATTCCAGGTTGAACTAACATTTAAAAACCAAGTCTTTCATGAAAATGCCCAAAACATCCAGAACTTGGCTGGTTACTGAGAGGCAGTCACACAATGAGCATTTAAATGATCCATGTTGGATAATAGTTGACTGTACTTTCTTTTTGCGTGTGTGGTACTAGGGTTTGAACTCAGGACCTTCAGCTTGCCAGGCCAGGCAAGCGCTTATTCTGCTGAGCTATCTCCCCAGTCCCTGACTGTACATTGTTGACAAAATTAAGAAAACTTTGTTAGAAATGTTAAGAATTCTATTAGAGTTAAATGATTTAACTTTTGGTATTAATTGATGAACTGCCTTGATGTATTTATAATTAAACTTTGAGGTTTTATACTTTGTCTTCTTCCTGTTTTGTTTTTAAACACAGGGAACAATTTATTCCCAGACTGCTGCAGACAACTATGGTCATACAGGAGAAGACATGTTTGCAGGATCCTTTCAGAAAATCCCAGCTAAACGAATGGGAGTTCCTGAGGAGGTGCTGTATAGTTCTAGAATTGATTACAGTGACGACATTTCTTGCTTGGGAGATTTGTAACATTATGAGTACTTTTCAGGAATCTAGTTAGCTGGTTGAGGTTGTTTTTCCCACTGCCACCAAAACATTTCTCCTGGGCCTTCTGACTCTTGGGAATATTCTGGTCATTCTTTTATCACTGGTAGCAACCTTAGCACAGAAGTGAATGCAGAATTGAATTAAGAACAGCACAGCTTTATTGTTTCATTTTACTTTTCAGCTACGTTATTCTGTCATAAGATAACTTATTAGTACACAGGTTCCTAAACAAGTCAAATGGTTGTGGCTTTAGGTAAGGCTGCCCAGTGGAAGTATGTGAATATTGATAGCTTTCTCAAATGCCAGCAATATAAATCTTCAAGGGTAAACTTTTAAAGGGGTATTTTTTCCACAGTAATAATAAAACTAGAATATCTAAGCAAACTTAGTTCCAAATAAAAAACAAAAACAACTTTTTACTTGAGAAAAAAAGGTCAGAGTAAGTGAAGATCTGTCATATTCATTAGAGGGGAAAATCATTTTTATTTCAAAGTCAAGTTTCTCCAAATTAATCTATAAATTGAATACATCTTGAAAGTTAACATAGTGAAGTGAGTTCTAAAGCTTGTTTAGAAAAACACCTGTGCAAAAATTTGCTGGGTATGGTGACACATGCCTGAAACCCAACCCTAGGGAAGCTGAGGCAAAAGGATTGCCAAGTTTGAGGCCAGTGTGGGCTACATAATGAATTCAAGGCCAGCTGAACTATATAGCAAGACCCTGTCTCAATAAAAAAGCAAAAAAAAAAAAAAAAATCTGTGCAAAAATGTTTTAAAACAGAATACTAAGAGGATTTGCCCTCCTAGATAATTTAAACATAGCTGTTTGTCGTTTGTTTGTATTTAGTTGTAAGAGTGTCATGGTTTGGGGTTTTTGCAAGGGAAATAATATAATACAGGACACATTTTATAATACTATTTTATAAGGAATTACCCAAGAATCATATGCAAGAAGAGCAAATATCCGTTCACACATTAAAGACCAAAGAATCCAGCCAAGGCCCTAGATCCTAACATCCTGCATGAGTCCAGCTGGAAACCTAGAGCTCATAACAATACCTCCCAGAAGTCCAACTGGAGGCCTAGAGCCTGAGACAAAGTCTCATGCAGGCCTGTTTCATGGATCTGTGGTAGAAATACCCAAAGGTCAGTGGTGGAAACTAGGAAGTCTGTGCCAGTGGGATGAAGGATCTGTGCCAGCAGGCTGAGGGATCTGAGCTGCAGCCAGGACGTGATGCTCAAGGTAAGCACCAGAGCTCCCCAAAAGGTACCACAGCCATCCTCAGCAATGGAGAGGTCCTGAGCTCCTCCAGCAATAAGGAAAGCTGAACTGCCATCAGGAAAGCCAACACAACAAGCTTTTCCATGAGGCTGAGCAGTGCACCATCTTCCCCTTTGGAGCCAGGAAGCGATGCTCACAATGAGGACCAGAGCTCCTCCAAAATGAACTGTAGCCATTCTCAGTGACACTGAGGTCCCAAGCTCCTCCTCTGACAAGAACAGCCGAGTTCATCAGGAAAGCGAGCTTGATAAGGTCACTCCTCAGAACTGCCCAGGAGAACAAATGGCTTTCAACAGCTCCATCACTTCTCCAAACAGCATCCCTAACAGCGTTCTGACAGCTTCTCCTGTTCTGCCTCTTGTGCTGCTGGCAACAACCCTCAGGTGGGCCTTCTGCACCCAGCACCATGCTAGTTCAATTCAGCTGAGTATAATAAGTTGACCACCAGTTAGAAATCCACTACAATGAGCCAAGCATATTTATTATAGAAACTTGGAAAATCAGAATAAAACCAAAAGAAAAAAACCATAACTATAATCCAGAGGATATCCACAGTAAATATTTTGGCATATTATCTTTTTCTTCATACATATATACATTTGGTAGAGAATACATGTTATATGCTTGTTGAAAACATAAAACTAAAACTTTTAGTTTTCAGAAAAACTAAAAATTTCTGGACATGGTGGTGCACCCCTGTAATTCCAATACTCGAGAGGCTGAAGCAGGAGGACCGCCATAAATTTGAGGCCAGCCTGGGCTACCTCGTGAGTTCAGTGGTAGCTTAAACTATACAAAGAGGCCTTGTCTCAAAAAAGCAAAACAAAAAGAAAAACTGAAAATTTATTTTGTTAATTTTATGTAAATTTTATATCTCTGGCAGTGCTACTTTTTTTTGTAAACTGACAAAAAACCTATTTCATTTCCAAAGCTGCCTTTTTAAAATTATCTTTTATATAACTTTGAGTAACGTATTACCTAAGATAAATCACTGTATTGGCAGGACTAGGTAAGATATGTTCATGAGTATGATCTAGGATGACAATTAAGATTTTGCTTTATATTCTTCTGCTCTTCTATCATGATTTGGCTTCCTAAAGTATTAGTCTAGACCAGTGGACTGTCTGATACTGTAGCTGTGTACCCATTTCAGTTGTTCGAAAACTATTGCTGACAGCTAATATTGATTGTGTGGCCATAAAACCTTTCTGTCACAGAAAGTATTCTTTCATAGGATACCCTGTCAGAGAAAGTGATTAGGACACCGTGACCAAAAAAAAAAAAAAAAAAAAAAGTTTAAAGAACTATTTTTAAACTATTATTCGAAATCTTTGGAAAGAAAATACAACAGACTACTTCAAAAATTTAAATTATGTGAGGAGATGAATCCATAGTATATTTCAGGAAGCAAAACAGGAGCTACAGGGGCTGGTGAGATGGCTCAGTGATCTAAAGCACCTACTTAGAACAAGCTTAGCAAAGCAGAGGGACCGCGGTTCAATCCCCCAGCACTACATGCCAGCCAGCCCCGCCTCCTGGTGGGCTGAGCTGGCCACACACACACACACACACACACACATACACACAAATAAATAAAATAAAAAATTTTTTTAAAAAGGAGCTACAGGGCCGGGGAGATAGCTCAGTAGAATAAGTGCTTGCCTGGCAAGCGCAGGGTCCTGAGTTCAATCCCTGGTACTGAAAAAAAAAAAAAAAAAAAAAAAGGAACTACACAAGGCACATGGCTATCATTTTAGTGCTTGATTTTTTTCAGAGCTATGTTAGGCAACTTACATATGCAATACCAACCTTGAGTGAAGTTACTAATGAGGGTACTAAGGATTCAGTGAAGTGAACTTGGCCTAGCATCATACATGGGCCAGTTGCTATTTAACAGCTCGTTTTGGTCACATAAAGACATAAACACAATACAGCTTGCCCTGGACTGGAAGGAAGAGGTGCTGGTGGACATATTTGGATCACATTTATACTGTTATAAAAATAAATATTTGATTTTGGTCATTAAGAAGAAAAGGAAACCTGTGCCTGTTAGCCAAGCCTTATCTGGACATTATATTGCATGTAGACTCCCTCCTGTTCTATATTAAGACAGAAGCAGACAACACTGGCTGTCACCTGACTGGATACTTTTCAAAGGAAAAGAATTCATTCCTCAACTATACATCCGATGTGCTTACCTTGGTACCTGAGACAGGGCTGAGAGCCTCACCGACTTCAGCTATTTACTCTCCAAAGTGGAAGAAAACCTTGGCTCCCCCTAACGTCCACTCTCTGATCTGGCCTTATAACCCATCACTGTTACTAGAAAGAAGTGCATCTCTGGAAGGGAAAACTGGTTTTAAAGAGAGACCTGATTGATGAGCAAATAGCCAATGAGACCACATGGTCCAAATCCCCAAGAGACATGGATCCAGGCTGCTTAAAATAGACCCCTCCCAAGGGCACCTTAGTACCCTGTCATTCTGAGGCAATGAACCCCCTAGGAATCTGTCATTTCTGTTGCTCTTGTGACTGACCAAAAAAAAAAAAAAAAAAAAAATACAACAAGCTATTGTGAAATAGTGTATTTGACACATTAAAGGAGATGTTTAAATTTTTATTCAGAAAGCTAAATGTAGGCTTTAAGTGACTTTAACCAAATGTATGATTAATTTTTACTCTCATAGAATGTTTTTTTTTGTTGTTGTTGTTTTTTTGGTGGAACCAGGGATTGAACTCAGGCCCTTGCACTTGCCAGGCAAGTGCTTATTCCACTGTGCCATCTCCCCGGCCCTGAATGCTTTTTGTTTATATGAATTGTATAATTTATAGTTACTATGTTAGAAATTAAAATAGAAATGTAAGAAATATTATTTCAGTTATAAATAATGCTACTGATTTGCACGTTAACATTAATAACTTTTAAATGAAAATAGCTACATTTTCCAGGGCATTTGGGGGGGTTACCAAGAACTCAACTCACAGGGGCCAAGAAGATAGCTCAGTAGAATAAGCGCTTGGCTGGCAAGCGCAAGGGCCTGAGTTCAAACCCTGGTTCCTCAAAAAAGAACTCAGCTCAACTTAGGACCTTGGGCTTGTGCTGCTGAGCTATGTCCCCAGGCTTCCAAGGCATATTTTTAATATCTATTTAACAGGGTCTGGGAGATGGCTTAGTGGAATAAGCACTTCCCTGGCAAGCACAAGGGCCTGAGTTCAATCCCTGGTTCTGGGGAAAAAAAAATCTGTTTAACAGTTCTGCAAATATTTTCAAAATATAGCTTCAAGCTATACAGCTGTATTCTCGCCTTTGCTTCTTCATTCAATTTCTTGTAATCTATTGTTTTGATTAAAGCATATAATCTGGCTTTCCAAAGCTCTATAAATGGAAGGGAAGGAGCATTTTAATAGCCATTTTAGGTAGCTACTGTTCTTCAAAATTTAAGAAGTAGTAGTTTCTTGAGGATTAGTTGCAAGGTGAAATCTAAAGCCATGTCAGTGAACTTTTTGCCCTGTTATATTATTCTCCTTTTTAGATCTTTTACCAATGTATGATTTTAGAATATTAGGCATTGGTACAATGAAAAATATTAACTCTGAGTTATGCATATCCTCTAAATGTTGACACAATTAACTATCCACTGTGGGAAGATTGCATTTGATAATAACCTCCACCTACCTCTTCAGAAGAGTTCTTTCAGGAAACTGGCAAGCTCATGGTAGCAGGTATAAGTTTTTCAAAATCCTAATTTTCCCTACAAAGTTTATGTATTATCGTCAACTACAAATATTGCCACTTATTTTCTTTGAAGTGATAATCTCATGTTGTGTGTTTTAAATCTGCCAAATACCCAAATGGGAATAGACACAGTGCTGTTCTGTCAAGTAAAAAGTGTTACTTCATGAAAAAGTAGCTAGTTCAGTACACAGTTCACTGGCACATTATTTTTCCTGGAGAAAAGCACTATGTTCTGCACAATGGAAGAGCTTTATATGTATATATATGTTATGGTCCATACATAGATACCCCCTACTCAAAGCCTCCTGTACTCACAAGTGGGGTTTTGGGGAGGTGACTGGATTGGGGGTATGATACCTACTAGTGCATTAATCCACTACTGAGTTTATAGATAACTGTGATATTGGGAGTGAACGCAGGATCAGAGGCAGGGTCCATCTCCCTCCTCCCTTGATCTCGCTGCCTCCCACTACTATTCCTTGAGCTATTTTCCCCTCTGCCACACTGCCCTGCCTTGGAGCCAGCAGACTCCAAGCAAACTTCTGCAAACTGTGAGCCAAATTAAACTTTTCATCCTCACAGTTTCGGGTGTTGGGTATTGTGGTTCCGCAATGGGAGAGTAATTCAGGCAGTATACTTCCCATTTTACCACACACATTGAAAATCCCCTGAAAAGCTCTCAGGAACACACAGACTTTGACCAGCTACACTTTGACAGTTGCTGCTGTCAGCAATTTCTTCAGAGTCTAGAAAGGAAGGGAAGGACAGATAATGGTAGCCATGTTGACATGCAGAATAACAAGAGTCTGGCCTCTGCCACACTGTACCCTGGATCAGTCAGTACATAGGGAGAAATGTCACAGCAGACTATTGGCTGGCATGTTTATCAGGTGGTTGCTATTAAGTGACAGTCCCTGAGAGAGTAAGACAGATCAGATATGTAAAATCATCACCGTCTAAAATAATCTGCTTCTGTTCTTTTAGGGTTAGTGAAAGAAATTCTTTCTATATGGTGTTGGCAGTAGATGTTGCTGAACTCATCGATAATTGAAGTCCCTCTTGTAGAAAGCACCTGCCATCTTTATTGCTGGGCCCTGGACCTTAGTCTGGCTAAATCCTTGCACCAATGTATTGAAATAGTCAACAGACTTGTTGACTATTTCATTGACAAAAATTATTAAAAAAAAAAAAAAACCACATGGCAGTGATGAAAATGGGGTTGCAATGGATGATGGAAGGACTGGAAAGAAGTGAACTATTTAAAGTAGAAACAGCAGAGCTTTAGCACCCTGTTCACTTTTGACCTCTCATATTGGCAGTGTGTAAAACTCCTTCATACTTGACCACCTTTAGTCTGATCATTTCCAGAGTTCACTCAGGCTCAAGTGTGCTGTCAAATTATGGTACATGCATCAGGACTGTTATCATGGCTGTGATGGAGGAGGAGATATGTTTACCTGGGAATATGGAGCCCCTGGAAATGGAAAAGACCCTTGCTTTCATGTATGCACATGTGCTCCTACTTCCAGATCTCCTCTGTTGTTTGCTTCCTGCTGTCGCCTGCAGCTTCCTTTGTCACTGGACAGTTGGTGAATGTGGATGGTGGTCAGTCTCTGTACTCTCAAGGCTACAACATACCAGGTAAGCAACCTGGGAATGAATAGTCATTCACCATATGCCTTTCATGTTGAGGTACCTACAAGTTCCTGTGTAGCTCCTTAGGAGCTAACTGCTCAGGTTGATGGTTGGATTTTGACAGAAACATTTGTAGTCACAGAAAATATGTAAATGTATGCATTACAGAGCTTAAGTGTACATAGTCAGAAAGGATTTTTGTGTACATAATTTGTTGGAATTTGAAACTTCAAAAACATCTGTGAAAAAAAAAAAAACATCTGTGAGTACACGTAGAGTCATAGGAAAGGGCAAGAAAGTACTATATGCTTAATTCCTCTTTTTTTCCCTCCAATAAGTGCCTTGTGTAGCTGAACAGAAGTGTAGAACTGCTAGTTGCAATAGAGTAGTATGGTTGTCCTTTGTCCTTTTTGGAGGATATATATTAAGTTTAACAATGTGAAACTGCCAAACTCAATCTTTTTTTTTTTTGTATTTTAGGGAAGGGTCTACAGGGTGTTCAGGGTCTCACTACTAGATTGGACTCGTAGTGATCCGCCTGTTTATAGCCTCCCAAGAGCTGGGATTACAGGCATACACCACCACGTTCAGTCTCAATCACTGTCAGCAGGCCCCAGGGGCAGGGCCGGCATGGCAGGCCCGGAAATCGAACCCCTGGCCCCTGTGCCTGCTTGCAGGTGCTTTAATCCACTGAGCTATTTGGCTGGCCCAAACTCAATCTTTTTTGATGTGTAAAATGTACTCTGGGTTTCCATGGGATATTGTTATTACACACAAATGTATTTCTTTGCATGAGGTGTGCATGTGTGTGTTCATGTGTACTCACACTCTTATCTTGTAGCTCAACTGGCATCCTTTACGGTTGGAACAATCCTAAAATCTCCAACATTCCTACATCTTAATTTCACACATGACAAAACAAATCCACAGAAGCTAAAAACTATGCTTAGAAAACTAATAAAAAATGATATAAAAATTGTTTGACCTTCAATTGTTAAGGTAGTTGACGACGTGGTTGACACTACTTAATTGTATAGTAAATATGACCATTGTATAACTGAATTTCATATTAGGGATACAGATTAAGCCCACTCTGTGCTATGGTCTAATCAAGGAGATGCTCTATGTCTTAGTAAATATCAGTATAACACTTTCATTTTACTTATTTTCCCTCTCATATATTTCTTTACTAATAACATTGGTATGGTTATAAGAACCTAGGTTGGAAAGACAAAGATGCCTACATGGCCAGGTGTGGTGGTACACCCCTGTAATCCTAGCACTCAGAAGGATAAGGCAGGATTGCTTCAAGTTCGAGGCCTACCTGAACTGCAGAGTAAAATCCTGTCCCAAAAAGACAAAAAGAGGCCAGGGATATAGCGTTAAGTGCCTGCCTGGCAAGCACAGGGTCCTGAGTTCAATCCCCAGTACAAAAAAAAAAAAAGCTCATGTGGGCATGCAGTATTGTTCCAGAAGTATTTAAAAGAGAGAGGGTAGAAGAACCTTTCCATTTATGCCAGATTGCAACTTTTATTTTTTGCATGAAATTCATGTATGTTACCTAGAAAAAAAATCAAAGAACAAAAATTTGAAGAGGGCAACCCCTTTAGGACCCCTCCTGTCTTTCAGGAGCTATCCTATTCATAATTCCTTTTCCTCAAAATATTTTCCTATTTTTAACCTCCATTGTTACTTAAAATTCGTTCTCCAACTGTGGGGCACAATTGACATCTGTCTAGCATTTCCCCTATTTCACTGTTTCTGAGGAGTTATTATTTTTTCCCAGTAATATTCCTACTCTTTTTTTTTTTTTTTTTCAGTACTGGGAATTGAACTCAGGACCTTGTGCTTGCCAGGCAAGCACTTATTCTACTAGCTACCTCCCTGGCCCAATATTCCTACTCTAAAAAAA